AAAGGTCAGTGGCGGAAGACAGCATCACTTCTGACGTAGATGACATGCCCGAAGATGCAGGAAACACATGGACTGTCCTAGAAACAGGCACACAGAAGGGCAAGAGAAGACTGGTTGATAGCTATGGGTAAATCTATGTTGTAAAGGGTTGTATGTTTGTCAGCTTGGTCATCTCTTTTATGTAAATAATATTTTTGTTAATTGTATGTTGTATATTAGCCAGTAGCATTCCTGCATTATTGCAGTGACTTTATTGTTTTTCCATTATCAGAGAGAGAACATCAAGCAGACCAACTGGAGATGTAGTGTCCACAACAAGAAGAACAGATGTCCTGCTACTGTCACTCAGAAGGGAACAAACTGCACACCCAGTGACAAGCCTCACAACCATACTGCTAGCCCTGGCAAGTTACAAGCATCACAAGTAAAGTTCAAGGAAAGCTTAAACAGCTTAATTATTTATTTAATTAATTAATCCAATTACCATCAAGAGCTACTGCTCGTTAATCCCAATTATGACCAGGAGGCTGTCTGAACACAATCCAATCCGCAACATAAACCTTTATAAAGAGGCAATATTATTTGATCAATATAAACAAATATTTCATTATGATAAGTTTCAATTTATCAGATAAAAGAAGACGCCACAAAGAAAGGAGTTTTTCAAGTCAGCTGAGACAATTGTGGAGGATGCGGTTACAACCATAGTGAGGATTATAATATCCCCATTGACAAAGCTCTAGTGATAAGTATTATACCATACTTGTTATGATTACACAATGCCATTTGTTGACAAAAAACTATGCATTTACAGCCAATAAACATACTATGCAAACCTTTAATTTTATTCTTGTTATTCTTTACCAAATAATTGGTATTACAGTGTTGTCTATACATGAATATTACTTTTGCTCTTATCAGTTTACTAATAGAATTTATCAGAAATATTACTATATAATATTATATGAAGAATATAATATGGAACAGAGCTCCAGATAAGATTTAGCTCATGTGAGTACTGTACCCACTGTATTTTTTGGAGTGGGTATTATGAATGTTGAGTGGGTACTTGTTTTTCTGTTACCCACTGCTTTCAACTATGTGCGTATTTCAGTCATTTTACTCACCTAAGTATATGCCATTGAGTAAGTTTACTAAGCAGGTATGTTCTGCCTTATGTCATACCTACCGTATATTACCGTCTATAAGCCGAATTTTGAGGACCATAAAATGCAGTGTTATCCATGGGTTACACTTTCGTCAAACTTTTTTCCAGGGGTAAGAAAACAACATCGTATCACTTCGCGTGAACAAACAACAGAAGACGACTTTGTCAGTAGAGACGTCAAATTTGCAATTAAACATCAGTAGTATATAATCATTGTATATACTACTAACATCACTAGACAAGATTATTTACCTTTTAAGTTCTAAGTTGTTTTGGCTGGGCATTGTATTATTTGCAGGGATTAAGATTACTGTGTGTATCTGAGCCGGAAATAGCAATCAGCTGTGCACGTGTTCCTCGGCGATCAAGTTCAAACATGCACAATAATATAACGGGACGAATTCTGACGCAGTCGTCAGTAAAATATAATACAGAGTACTATTATTTAACCTAAAGATATATAACCTAGCATTGTGTAATTTTAATTACAGTTTTTATGTAAAATATATATAATCAACACTAAGGTTATACGGACCCTCATGAATGTGGTAAGCAGAAGTTGTACGCACATGGAATGGGGTAAAATACGGAAGCCATTTAAATTCACACATTTTTACCGATGTTACTGTAAACTAGCAGTCAATGGAAAACGAGGCGGTAATCAAAACCAACTTAAATATAATGGAAATCATTTCATAAAATATCACTCATCCTATACCTATACAGTCAGCTCTCGTTAATCCGACACTCATTAATCCGACAATCACGTTAATCCGACAAAAACTTAGGGAACCATTTAAAACAGTGATAATTACTCTTGTTAATCCGACATTCTCGCATTCCGACTCCGACACACCAATCTAGCAACTGATCATTGTAAATACATTGTAAAAACATTCGTTAATCTGACAATCAACACAGCCGGTCGGATGATCCGACCGTATACAAACATCACACATGAAAGGTGATTAGCGCGTGCCTTACTGGCTGCTTGACACCCACGTCGGTGAACATCACACTTGTCTCTACGACTGATTCAAATGCTTCAAGAGCTAGAAAACCCCAGCAGGAGGATCTTGAAAAGGCCTTGTTTTTATGGTTTACCGATGTTAGAAGTAGGTTCATTCATGTGAATGATGAACTGTTAAGAGAGCAGGCTAAGATTCTAGGTGAGAAATTAGGGGTTACTGACTTTGCCTACAGTAGTGGATGGGTGACCAGATTTAAGCAGCGACATGGAATTAAGACGCACAAAATTCATGGTGAATCAGCCTCAGCCCCACAGAGTTCTGTAGACGCAGGTAGAGAAGAATTGCAGCAAATCCTGGCTGAATACAATCCGTGTGACGTCTACAACTGTGATGAAACTGGCTTGTTTTACAAAATTGAACCCAATACCACACTGAGCACTTGTCCTGTGTCTGGCAAGAAACAAGCAAAAGATCGTCTTACTGTTATGCTTGTGGTGAACGCATCAGGCACTGACAAACCTAAACCACTGGTAATATGGAAATTTAACAGGCCAAGATGTTTTGGTAGAACTTTTGATCCTAATTCTGTGTGCCACTGGTATGCAAACAAGAAGGCTTGGATGACAGCACTGATCTTCAAAGACTGGCTTGTGAAGTTTGATAGGCACATGCGCACACAGCGGCGACAAGTGATATTGCTGATTGACAACGCCTTCCCATGCCTCCAGAGATCTCACCAACGTAAAAGCTTCACTATCTGCCTCCCAATACAACATCCCACATTCAGCCCCTAGATGCAGGAATAATCAAGAATTTCAAACTTCTGTACAAGAAGCAACAGATGAAACTTCATCTTGACAACGCCAGCGCAGACACGCCAGTACCACTTGATATCAAGCAAGCCCTACTGTTTATCCGATCAGCGTGGAGAGATGTGAAGCAACCAACAATCATCAACTGCTGGCGTCATACGAAAATCCTGCCACCTACTGACAGCCAGATCGAGCCCGATAATGAACCGACTGAAGACGTCCGAGATTTACAGGAAACTCTTGACAAGCTATACCCAGATGCACCCGTACCTGTCAGCGAATTCATAGAATATGACGCAAATCTGCCATGTGAGGAAGCCATGACTGAAGATGCAATAATCGAGATTGTCCGACCTACTGCCGAAGAAGAAATCAACACTGAAGAAGACCAGACAACCGAACCAGTCGTTCCCCAGCTACCTGAGGTCAAAACATTGTTGAACACTTTGCAGACATTTGTGACACACCACTTAGACGTGTTTGATGTGAATGACCTCGACTTCATTGACACTTTGAAAACTAAAATGCTGAAGACCTCAGAAAAAAATGAACAACTAAAACCCTCAAAGACTATTTCAAGTTTTAAATTATTGTTCACCAGACATCCATATGTTAGTGTGGAACTAGTTGTATGTAAACAGTGACTCATTCAACATCCAGGTCATAATGGCTGCTGAGAGTGAAATAGCGACGACTGGTAAAAACAAACGTGATTGATTATATGATTTTATATGTATGTTATGCATCTATGATTGTTAATAAATGATATCAAGGATGTATTGTTATATTTTTTATTACTGTGAATGTTTTTACAAACGAAGACGATAACCAGATCTACAATTTCTGATATTTTCCGACATTTTCATTAATCCGACATTTTCGTTAATCCTACATATTTCTCTGCAACCACAAGTGTCGGATTAACGAGAGTTGACTGTACTGACAGTACAACACTTGTCCTATACTAACAGTACAACTTGATAGCAATCGATGTCTTTTTCATTACGCAAGCGATGTTTATAAATATATTCCGTACGCATTTGTTTTAAACTTTCTGTGTATCTGAAAGTTTAAATGCGTAATTGGTACACAACCAATTTTTTTCAATGCGTAATTCTATGCGTATTTTACCCGGATACGCAGCTTATCTGGGCCTCTGATGGAAGTTGACAAAAACTATGCATTAATGGCATATATTTAACCATTTTAATAAATTGGGGCATTTTGACTATCCCATGGGTCAATTTGACCCAAACTGGGGCGATTTGACCAAATTTGCTGGGGCGTTTTTGCAGCTGAGGCGATTTGACTTTCACCCAAAACAATCACTACAGATACAGATACACTCATCATACAGATGAAAACTGAACTGAGCACTGCATGCTAATTGACCCTGGTTCATGTAGCTCATTCTCCAATGATCTCATGTACCTTTATGATTAATTATGTCAGGGACACCTCATCCCAACACCATCATTGACCCATGGCTCTCCTGTCCACTAAAGCATCCTATGTAATTTGGATCAGCAAACCTTTCTGATCAATTGAGCATTTACAATCCCTTATGTTAGTTGTGAATTAGGGTCAATGCTAAATCGTAAAATTTTTAATCATAATATTTTTAACAAATGATCAACAGATAATCAATACAACCAGGGCAAGTTTCATGGAACATGCATGCTATTTGGATTTAGGTGTGCTTTGACGTATTGTTACTGATACAAAAGTCTGTTAGGCTTGATGTGACACAGTCTTGTTGCATTCTTTAAACATTTAGTACACAGTACTGACAACAAGATACTGGCTATACTAAATACTTGAATGTACTTATTCAAAGGAACAGAAGATGATGAAAGTGCGTAAATATAGACACTGGTCAGCTTCTTCGACAGTTATTTCATCTGTCAGCATTAAAAAGAAATATCAACCGCAGCACTAGCTGTCATGACATGAACGAGAATGACAACGGATATTTTTCCAAAAGCACATAGCAAATAATGTACACATTATTTCAAGCATATTTTAAGTTACGAACAAAATGAAAGCTACCTTGCTTTTCCGAGGCTTCTCCCTCACAGCTTCAGCCATCTTCGACTTTGTTTTGATCATATGACCAGTGGTTCGTACGAAAAGTTGGAACGACGGAGTGAAACTATTAAATGAAATATGAATAATTTCTAACGGGTCATATATAAACTTTTCTTCTGTTTAAACAGGAACCTGATGAAGGACCTGGAATGGTCTCAGATTCTTAATGTTTCAAACATTATTTTTTCAAACAAATCGAATGAAATCGCATTAAGAGTAATTCCAAGTTGCCAGTGAGTTATTCTAGTAAAGTCATTTTCCAGAGAAAAAGTAGAAATAGTGCAGTTTCTTAATGAAGTCGCGAACTGACTGAAGGTTGTCCCTATTTGTACAACTATTCCCTGAACTATTACTATGTGCTTATGTATTTGGGCCATACCCACATATGTTTAAATACAAAGTGTTCCGATTTTGTCGTATGTTTAAATACATAGTGTTCCGTTGCTTCTTCAAAGAGATACGCAAGTGGAATTTTATAAGACGCGATTGCCTGAAAGCCGGACCGGGCCAGGCCAAAACGGTCCAACAATGTTACTGGCTAATTACTCCATTATCGACAAACGGACCAACAATTTGATAATGCAACAAACACAAATGCCAATAATGAACAATCGCATACAACAAACGTTTAATGTAATAACGTTATTGCGACTAAATCACTTGAACCTCAGGAATTGTGAATGTAACTGAGCTAGGTTTCGTCTAAAAGAGGAATTGTTAAACGAAAAATGATTTGAAATGTATGACTACTTCAGTGTATCTCGATACACATTTCTGTTTGTCGGGTGGAGCTTGAACGCCTCTATCCAAGCAAATACCACTGTAGAAGGGCACTGTTCACCGTATTAAAAGCAATGCCACTGGTAAAAATGTAAAGATATTTTCCCCGACACTCTCTGCATTCTTGCCGTTCCTATTGTCGGACTTGGGCAGAGCGGTTAAAGAGATATTTCATTAGAATTGTTTTTACAGATCTACATATATTATATCTACACAAACAGTGACTAAATCTGAATTATTTACAGGAAAAAGTTGAAAGAATGGATGCTCTTTTTCACATACTCTCACCATACCTCTATCAGTGTACTCTCCGACTTAAACGTCATAGACGTTTCGGGTACCAGACGAAATGCCCCAGCTACAACATGCCCCAGCTCATAATTTGGTCAAATTGCCCCGGAGTTTTGGTCAATTTGCCCCAGGGTTGGTCAAACTGCCCCAGGGGGTAGTCAAAATGCCCCAATTTATTCAAAATGATTAAATATATGCCATAAATACATATTTTTTGTCAACTTTGATATTATATTCTTCATATGAAGGTTATATTAGGAAGGAATATTTCTGATAAATGTATCTATTTAAATGAATTGTTGCTTAGAATACATCAAGTCAGATAAGTCTTTCATTTTTAATTTTCTTCTGTGTACAGGAAATGTTTACTGGTAGTAAGTGAAGGCCAAAAGGCAATCTCGTGTGACAAATGTGAAGGCTGGACACACACACTCTGTGGAACTAGAATGTCCAAGAAGAAGTATGAGGAGTGAGTGAGTTAGTGAGTTAAAATTTAACGTCACCTCGGCAATATTTCAGCCATATAGTAACGAGAAATGTTTTACATAAACAATAAATTTAAGTTGCTAAAAAATCAGTCATCGAAGGACTGTAAAATCACTGTAGAGTATCACAGATGGAGTCTAAAACCAGCATGAACATGTGAAACTATTTTATTTACGAAGACAATACAATATAAAAATGGGCTATAGGTCGCCAACAACTGAAGGTAGATCACAGAAGTATGAGGAAGTGGACAGGACTGGTTCCCTATACCCTTTACATGCACAATCTGCAAAGAGACACCCAGGGAAACTCAGTTTTATCCTTGACCTGTCTTCCCAAGCTGTGATATATCTTAGAGCCAAAACCTGCTTTAACATATTATCGAAAAAACATAAGTTCCTATACTCTTAGTTCATGTTTGTACTTTTATATGTTTTATAGTTTATGTATCCTTTGTCTATATATCAATATGCTCTTTTATGGGAAGTCTCTCATAACCCTGTGTAGGGTGGCTCTACATTTTCATGTATTCACTGGTTCGTAAAAGTGAAGGCCTAACCCTCTGCATCCCCCAACACGGCCTCAGTCAAAACTGATTCGCTTTGGAATCCAGGACAAATCCCCCAAACAACAACACCCCAAAACCAACAATAACCGGACATTCTCTCGCCTCCTCCTCAAACAATGAAAACGGACAAAACCCCTCTACTCATCTTTGGGTTATCTCCAATTGACAGACACCCATTTGACAGACAGTCGATTGACAGACAGTGAACTAGGAGGTTAATTAGGGTAACACCTTCGGGTATAATGGAACAGTCCACTGTCTAGTGAGTAGAATAGGGTGAGATTGAAACATGTTCGTTACTGAGAAGTTTGATAGTGTGTAAAGAAAACTTTGTTGTGATTAAATGAAGCTATGAAAAACATTCTCACATCCATGGCCACATTGACATGATGCGTCATTTCTTATATTTATTTTAACATAAATCATTATTAAGTGTACTCGTCATATATCTTAATCCTGTGTGCAAAACATTGAACTTCCTTATTCCATATGAATAATAAATAGGTGCACATTATTTTTCACGTGGATATAAGATTTAAATGATGCAACAGAGTCGCAATTTTCTTATGTTTTTATTTGGATTATTCCATTGTAATGTATAGGTAACCGGTAGAAGCTAATCTGTTCATGGAACCGCAAATGTTGTTTCAAGGCGAACTGTCTGTCTGCGTAATGGGAGGACACCATCTTCAGCTTTAGTTTAAAGGTTCTGCTGATATTTGATCAACAATTAATCCCCTTGGATGTTTCATTGAATATTAATTGGCTGATTGGTTAAATTATCTCAATCCTTTACTTGTTATCATGTTTTGATAGAACAGCTTCATTAACAATTGCAGAAGAGTTTAAGAAGATTGTTTTAGCTTTGTAAACTGGCAATATTAAACTGGCTTCCATATGCTATATAGTATATGCCACGTTTGCAAAACACAAATCATCACGAAAGAAATGGTAACAAGGGTGGTTCCAAATGGCTTTACACTAAGAAGAAAGAGAGCAAGTCAACAACAAGATGGGAGTGTACTCGGCGGAGGATGATGCCATGCAAGGGCACAATGACAACTGACATAGAAGTTCGGAATGTACTTGGGACAACAGACCACTGCCACTCGCCAGATCCCACTGGTAACACTGCCCTCAAGTTGGACTTGCCTTCTTGCCGGTCAGTGAAGTTGAAGAAGGAATGCGATACTTGGCATCACCACCCAAGGTGGTTCACGAACAAACAATGTGTGTGAGGGCTGGAATAACGCTTTCCGGAAGCTGATAGGACGCTCTCATCCCCACGGTGTGGCGGCTCATCGACTGCTTGAGGAAAGATAACTGTGATGCTTGCACGGCTATCTACAGATCGGAAAGAGGTCAGCCCCAAAAGAAGAGAACAAGACGTGCAACCAAGCTCCTCCAAGAACGTCTTGATGGTTTGTGCAGGAGTTATGGGGCTGGTGAGAAGACGCTCCCAGATTTCTTGCATGGCATTGGGCGCTGTATGCGAACTGGTGTTTGATGAAATTATGTGCTTATGATCCAATAACATAAATGACAAATAAATAAATGTATGCTCATTTGTATTGTATCAAAATGTCACATAATGTATGAATAAATGTATGCTCATTAGTATTGTATAAATATGTCAAATAAAAATAAATGTGCAATGAATGATGTGAAAAATGTGCTCAAAATATGTGCTCTTTGACCTTGTTGAATGTTGAAATATTGACAAATAAATAAATGGATATCTTAAACTCTTGACTGTTTTATATAACGTCTTTTCTGTCAGTAGCTTTGCCCAATTGCTACCACGTCATTGTATTGTCGTCATCCTTGCCCCATGCACCTTCAGGAGATTTCACACACAAACCTAGAACGTCGCATGTGGACGCCCTCAGCAGGAAGGAGGCTGGCCGGGTGACAATGCAACCTTTATTGGCGGTGAACGTCTCGATATGGCTCAACAAGAACTCTCCTTCATTGTCCCACTGGAGCTTGGCTGTGCCATTTATTACCTTCTGTGTTGCTCCCAGGAAGTAATCTGTAAAATGGAATACTTTAGTGATGTTAACGAAAGAAATGAAATTCACCATTAATCCAATGGGCATGGCTGTATGCTGTGTAACAATAGATCAGAAATATCAGCCAAAATATAACTTCTCTAACTGTACTCTAGATTAGCATCTGGACTTTATTATGAACATAGTTTACAGAATTAACCCAGATCTTTAAGCATCTAAATAAAATGTAATAATAATGAGCCAAGTGAGTGAGTTAATATTTAACGTCACATCGGCAATATTTCAGCCATATCGTCATCGAAGGACAGTAAAACAACTAGAATATCACAATTTGATTTAAAACTAGTGTGGAAGGTTAAAACTAATAGCACTATTAGGACAATACAAGATAAAACAGGCTATAGATCGCCAACTACTGAAGGTAGATCACCATACTAGGGACCATGGGGACTTACAGTACCTTTGATACCTGCATGGACCCTAGCTGGATTTACAACATCCCTTCAGCCATTGGCGTTTATACTGGTTTTCATACATGAAAATGACAAAAATACTACTATTAAAAACCTGGTAGACTTAAATTTACTTGAAATGTTTTGGGACTTACGTACCCTCTCAGGGGGACAATAATTTTACAGTACTTTAACCCCCTTTGACGCTACAGCCACTAACAATACAAGTTGCTAATCTAAACTACCAATCATTAAAATACATCTATCTAGAGAACATATTATTCAAAATTCATCTATTAAATCAATTTCTTTTAAAAAGCCAATAATTAAATGAAAATTAACAGTGTTAAAAAGATCCTTAACTGTGTTCACATTGAAATACTTATCCCTTATGATGGAGAATTCAACACAGTCAAGCAGGAGATGCTTGACTGTGAC